GGCGTTCCCATTAGCACGACCATACATGAAATGCATGTCTGTTAATTCTGCGTTAGAGTAACCAGCCATAGCGAAAGAAAACTTGTGCACTGAGAACAACTGTCAAATACGTACTGTTTATTTCACTAAACATCAACCAACTATTATAAGAAAATACACAACGTTTTTGCAAAATAAAAAAAGGGGCTAAAAAACATAAAACATTCCATATCTCCGCAACCGTTACTTTGCGGACCCATGTTTATTGAGACTTTTCTGCTTATTTTGATTCATACTATTACCTCCTTAAATATTTTACACTCTTTTTTTAACACCCTGTATAATTTTACGTCTTCAAAAATTTGCTGTGTTATTGAAATGTATGAAAGAGTCATAAATATTCATTTTTTAAATCACTGTTAAATAAAGCTCTGATATTTGATTTCATGCAGTGGTTTTTACATGAGAAATGTTTTCTTACTTTGAGGAGTTTTACCACCTTGTGAGTTTTACTGTGGCTTACGCAATTCAACATCCTCTGTATCCCTTTTGTCATATACACGAGTATTCTCATTCCGTGATTCCGATAAATTTTGTACATAAAAAGATATTATTTTTTTCAGTGTGTAAGCGTGATTAAATCGTTCCGCTGACAGTTACAAATATTTTTGTGAGTGTAGGAATTTCAGACCATTGTTCGATACCGATCTGTCAAATAATATTTCAGCGTTAGCGTTATTGAAATATTAACAGCGGAACAAACAGAAACACTAGGTTCTCTTAATCGTCGACTGTGGAAAACGCATTTTAATAATTCACAACCAGGAACACGTATTGTTCCGTATTCTGGATTTCTAGAAACAATGATTAAAAGTTACGAATTGAAGAACGGCGAGAAACAAAAACAATTTTTCGACAATACCTTACAGAAATAAATGTAATTGATTTCAGATGAGTAATATTGAGTGACAAGTTTGATTTTCCATTATTTATTTATCGATTTTTAAAAGAGTGTAAGTTTAAACATATTTCGTCACCAATGAGGTTATATTTTCTGTTCTAATACGATTACATACGAGGAAATCCAAACATTAGGAAGACTGTGAGATCATTTAGTTATTACATAGACTAATTTACAGGGTGGGTCCATGTTAATTATGTATTACGTGATTATAAAACAGTTTGACGAATATTTCTAGAGGATATAGGAGCACAAATACAGCCAGATGTTGGAACCAAAATATGGTAATTGAGCCAAATATGCCATAAGCCAAAGGTGCTTTATTTGCAAATTATATTAACAGTTACAAGAAAGTTTGAGGTTCACTGGAACTCTGAAAGATGAGGAACCAGTGACCTCCAAACGTTCCATCACATAAATCATAGCAGATAACAAACGAACGCTATTAAATCAATTAATTTCGAGAATACTCTAGTTTTAATTAAGCGAAACTGTCACCGAACTGGCCATTTATAAATTTTCTGCTTGTGAAATAAATTAATGGATCCGTGCCGCTTCCGAATGCACTGTAACAAATTGAAACCGGAAAATAAATTAAAGCTTTTACTATGTCTGAATGAAATCCAGACGTTCTGTGGCTGTAGTCGTATGTAAAAAAGTCATTTGTCAGGTAAGGATGGGCCGTAACAGTAACAAATGACGAACGGAGTCCACGAAAAAATTACTAAAAAAGACCCGTATAATCTTTACCCGTATATAATCTGATTGTGACCCCTTTTCTCTGTTGACGTTAACAAATAAAGGTAGCTTAAGCGTTTATCCTAAATCCCGGAGAGTGCTTGCAAGGGTTAACATATATCTGAATAGCTCGTTGAAAAATTACCAGTATTAATAATTTTACGTGAGCACCAAGTCGGCTTGTCTTAAAAACTACATTCAGTATGAACTTTGTGTCACATACACTTTAAATCTTGAATGTCTACAAATATGTACGTACAGAAAAAGTCAAATTAAAAATAAATGTGCACGATTTCTTAATAGAAAATTTGTTCGGAACTGCTAACATCACTGTTGTATTTACGCGTAACATAATTTGACTGTCACTTTATTAGGGACTATATAGTGTTGCAATGTTACACAGAACATTTAAACTATATATATTTATATAAAATATATCATTTTGGGCTCTTGAGTTGGGGGAGTTCGGCTTTTGGTTTCAGATAACTGGCACCATTGGATGGTGTGTTCGCTGTGTGGTTTCTGTGTAATTCGAGCTAATTTTCCAGAAAATTCTGGCCAAACGGGTAACTTCTTGGATTGGAAACATTGAAAATTTTGATAAGCTTGCTCGTAATGTGTCTCAAGACACTATCTTCGCCAATAACTATTTTTATGTTTTTATTGGAAGATTTCCTTCACATTATCACATATGTATAGGTACTACATGTTCAAGATGGCGGATCCCTTGTTTTTTTTTTATTGTATTTATGAATTTAGGTTCCAGAATCTGAAAGCATAAAACAGGTTATCTACTCACAATTGTCTAGAATTTTAGATTACTGATATAATTAAAATTTATTTTTTTTGTGGAATGTGCACTTCCATTGCCCAGAATGTACGCTTCTAACATTTGTGTAAACCGACATATTTTCTTGAATATGCTATAATCCACACACACCATATCAATAAATTTGAGTATAATTTAATTTTTTTATAATATTAAATATACATAAGCTTAGTCATAAAATATGCAAATACTCGTATTAAATATAATAAACAGGTTCATTAAAAGGTTTTGTATAAAATTATCACGCAATTTTAAATCGTGACTGATGAATCCGATGTGTTCTCCTGATGAATCATTTGACAATATTTGATTTAGTGATTTTCGTATTTTTCTGTTTCTATCATATTGTTCACATCCTAGTGTATAAACTCAATGTTATTTGCATTCTATTTTGTAAATTAATTTATTTATTTTTACTACAAGTGTTGAGTTTTGTGTTTTCAGTCATAGTGCCCTGTTCTAAATTAATTATTTTTAGTATAGTTGTACACATGTGAACAAGAAGATTAGGACAACATGACAAATTGTTTATTTGTTAAGTTTTTTTTTTATTAATTTAACATATTTGCCTGTCAATTTTAAAAAAATAACTATCATCTGCAGTATGAAAATAAAAATTAAGGTCTTTTTCTAAATAATTTGCTTCACACATGACTTGGCAAACCCGCAATCAGGCAAACATGATGATAAGATTAAAAATTTAATTCGAATATATGAAGTATTAATTGTTTTGCAAAAATTTATTGAATCATTGAAAATAGAACTTCCACAAAATACTACATTTTCCTGTTCCATTGTTAAATTATGGATGTATTATGAATTGAAGACCGTTACAATATCAAGCAGGATTACAGGATTCGAAATAATACTACAATACATTCAATGGATAGATAGTTAAATTTAATGACATGCTAGAAGTCCCAATTTCGCTATTAGTGAATTTTGCTTAATTATTGTCATTTCCTAAGAAAAACATATTATTCAAAATTGCGTTCTGTTGACATTTAAAACTTCTAAAACCATCTATAAAAAAACGTAATATTTTCAGATTATCTAAAATATACTCGTACTAAAAATATATCTAAACTCATTGTTCACCCAATAAAAATTAGAAATTATTTACTGCAATTGTCTAAAATTAATACAACTCTTAGTTGCTATAAAATTTGGGTACACCAATGCAAGGTTATGAAGCGTATAAAATTATGTAAATATCTGCGTTATATATTATATTTATGTAAATATCTCTATATTACAAATAAACCTAGCGTAGTCGTAGTTTATCCGCTGATTATGTGATATTGCCTAACTTTCGATTAATTCCATTGTAGGTAACGGAGATGCTGAAGAGTTCCTCAATGGTACACAAAAAATAGTTTTTATTTACATCTCATTATTCCTCTTGAAGTAAATGAGGCTATTAATATGTTAAAGAATTCTCACTGCCCGAATGTCAGTGACATAGATAGTAGAATTATAAAAAACACAGTTGATATATTATTACAGCCACTTATATCTTCAATTAATTTATGTGTTTGAATGGGCACTTTTCCTGGCATTTTTAAAATTCCTTTTTTAAAAAAGTGACTAATAAAGTGGAAAATTATTCTCCTATCTACCGTTGCAAAAATAATGGAAATTATTCTAAAGCAAAGTCTCTCCAGTTTTTTTTAAAGTAATCTTCTTAGAAATTGGAATATTATAGGCTAAGGGGACTGACAACTTATTGAAATCATATTTAAAATATATACAATTTGTTTCAATTAACGAAATTAACTCTGGCATATGGATAAATGTTTAATACAAGTGTCAGTCATTTTAGTTACAAGTATGATGGCGTCGCACTGGTTATCAGCAAATAATATAACTTAATCCAGATAAAACTCAGCAATTGTTTCTGCCAAATAAAATGGTTAAAAGTAATAATAGTGGTTTATTACATGTTTTGGGAATGGATACTGATGACTATCTATCCCGAGAATTGACATCCAGATATCTACAAAATGTTCGAAGATGAAAGTGTAAATGTTTTATTTACACCACTTAAAAATATCTCTTTGTATCATATTTTAATGTTTCAAATAATTGCGGTTAGGTACTTTTAAATTTACTAAAAACCTAAAGATCTGACTAACGACACATTTTCAAACTGCGGCACAAGGCGTCTGCTCTCTTTACTCAATTAAATTCGCGGCAAACAAAAAATGCACACCATCACTTTTTTACATGGGCATCTCGATTGTACATCTTCCTAGGAAATTTTTAGCGGTACAAGTGATTGGAACACGATGGCTATCTCTCACATAAGAAAGGTGTTGTCTACTTTTACCGAATTCTGTGCCTTCTGACAGAAAAAAAAATGAAGGTGATACAAATGCGGATCGGTCCATCGGACTCATCTGAGGCAAAAAGTGTAGCAGAAGGGATAGAAGGCGTGCATGGAGAAAGGAGATCAGCAAGAACTGAAGATATATAACGAGTTCGACCCCTAGGAGTGCATACACTCTCTCTGCAACTGTGCGCCGACGTTTTTATACATCACCATGAAATTCTTCAGTGTGAGTAATCAATTTTTTAAATGTGGGTGCCGGGTCTGAGGATTGTGTTGTTTTGTGAACGTGAATAGTGTTTTTTACCATGATAAGGAGCTTTTTAGATACACTGAGAAAATGCGATTATTTGAAAAAAGTTTTTTACACACATAAAAATGTTCACGTAAAGAAAATAATATTAATTTGTTTGGTATACTGCAGAAAATGTTAAAAAAACTATTCTGATACATAAATAACCATCTGTTATACATACAGTTAAATATTTTATTAACTGTGTTGATTTGTAGTTCCACATTTCTTTAAATGTTTTTTTTTTAATTCCTGAATGAATCTAATTTTGTTCTGACCTAGGTAATAAGCAATTAGCAATGGAAAATTTCTAAATAATATGATTCCAAAATTTTTATTATTTAATGAAGATTTAGAAAAGTGGAAAATAAATAAATTTGGAGAAAATATTTTAACTACATACATAATACCGTTAGTTGATAGTTTTTTACGTAATAGTTTACGTTTTGGTGAGGGCTTTACCTCAAACTGTTGTTTTTATTGGAAATGGTGATATTTTATGCATTTTTGGCGTGACTTAATATTTGTATTAAGTTTGTCGAAGTTTATATGCCATTATCTTAATAATTAATTGATGGCTTGAGTTAAAATAAAAATAAACATAAAATAAATAGCATTTCTCTAAGTAGTTGAGTACTTTATACATTTATAATACGAGGCATATCGGTGACTTTGCCAAAAACACCTCTTCAACGATTTTAACGGAATAGCATTCAATAGCATAAATTTTATTTTGACCAAAGCCATTACTTATATATTAAAATAACGGCACTTCATTCACATATATTGTTGTAAATTGCTGATGCATGCATTTTATGTAAATTAAATTGGATATGCGCTACAAAAAACCAGTTTCTAATGCTAACATAGTAGAAATTGAAATTATAATCAATTCATCAACCAGTCAATGCAAATATAATGTCGATTATTAAAGAATGTGAAAGTTCAAGTTTAATGATCCACTAGACTATCACAGTGCCCTAAAAAAAGCCTTAGAACTTAGAAGCATATGTGGTACAGTGGGACTAAATAACTTATTTTCCTCTGACTACATATGTACTGAGCCTTAATTCGACTGTTAAGCAGAATGCACACTGGTCAAAATTAAACAAAAAGTTCAAATGAACTGGGAATAAATTATAACACTTACGAAGTTGTGGCAGCTTGAAGTATTTTTATATTTCTTTTAAACGATTTGAAGTGCTGTGTCTGTAAATTTGGTACACGTGTATAATTATTGATAAGTTCCGTGGAAATTTACCTTTTAACAGCCACTTTGATAAAAACTTGGAGTTTCTTTTCTGTCTTGGATAAAAAAGTTTTGGACGCGCAGCATAAAATAATGGTGGTAATTGAAAACATTACTGTGCTTTTTAAATTTTGTTAAAGGGGTTCGATTTTACACTGTTTAAGAAACAAAAAAATTTTCTTTATAAAGGTAACTACAAAAAAAATCTATGTAGTATTATAAGTCTTTAGTGTGTATAGTTAAAAAAAAAAATTGTTGCTGATACAGATGATTTTCAAGCAGGATCATACAGTATGTTAATGATAAACTCCGCCAAATTTTAATGGTAGATTCTACCCTACTGATTATTTTGAAAATTAGATATGTGTATTTAATTCCGGTAGATATTTCAAACAAAAACATATAACAAAATGAAGCATCTTGAGATATATTTAGATAAACGTGACATTTTTAAATTTCCCAGCACGTTTATAGGAATTTGTGTTATTGATGACGTAGAATTGACCATTAAAGTTATAGTATATAGCAGGAGTCGGCAAGTAATTTTAGGTGGGGTCCGGATACTTTTGAAAATTTTTAACGAGGTCCAGAAAAAAATTCATATTTCTTATTTTTTTATTTTAATTTGGACTCAAATTTAATTTGCTTACTAACCATTAAGAACTCGCACACTCACACAATTGTAAAATACTAGGAAAACTGATAAGATTGACACTTAAACGTAAAAAACATTTTTTAAATAATTTATTGAGTAATTTATACTTTCAAAAAATTTTTGGCGGTCCAATATTTTACCTTCCGGACCTGGACCGCGGTCCGCCAGTTGCCGACCCTTGGTATATAGTAAGTAAAGCAGAGTATTTCATTAACACCTTGTATATTCGTAAGGAGTCTTAAAAACCATTTTTATTTGAACTTTTGTCTTAGTTTTGGTCAAGGTTAGGATGCTTCCTAATAAAAGTTTGACAGTCGAATTAAGGGATGAGAGACGCCCTGTTTTATAAATTGGTTTTTGCCAGCTTGACAGTATTCAAATTATAGTAACACCGCTCTGACATAATACTTTTTAGAAAACATTTGCTTTATCAAAAAGGTGTATCGCGTATTATATTTTTTTATTAATAAAGAATATTATTCGTTTTTATAAGAAATGTTACAAATTGATGAAGTTCTAATGAATGAAGAAAATGTTTTACACAATTTTTTACTACAGTTTTAAGAGATATTGGTCTAGAATTAAATAATTGAAAATTGTGATGAACTTATGGATCTGTACCCATTTCACCTAGTTAGTATTAAACTATTACAAAATTAGGAAACCAGATGGTCTCCTTTGAGGAGGATTAATTTTTTTTTAACTGTTAAATTTGTATTTTTTAAACAATTTTACATCCATTTATAATTTTCGTAAATACAATAAATACATAATGATATTAAATATATGATTAAAATTAAAATTAAAAAATTTGGGAAAATATTAATTGATCGTTATTAATTTATAATTATTGTCCTAAGGTATAAAGGAACATGTCTCGTTAGGATTTTATATATTTTGTTTGTATTTGCTGCTTTATTAAAGCAAAAAATGTAAATACCAATTTCTAAATTCTGGTCACCTTATATGAAACATATTTCTAATTTCCAGTCCGCCCTTCTTGTATTGTCCGCCTTGGCCTCCACCAGCGGCGGACCAGTACAACTCAAGCGCGGCCTGCCCACCTACTCGGCCACCACAGCCTCCCCGATCTACGCCTCTGCCAGCGCCGGCCAGCCGTCTTACACGAAGGCCTTCCGGTCCGCTCCTGAACTGAAATCTGTGTCTGCCGCTCAACAGTACGTCTCTCAGCCTGCTCCGTCGTATTCCGGCCCTAGCGCCCAGCAGTACTACCAACAGGCTGAACCTCAAGCTGTCGCCTATTCACAGCCTACAGGGGGCAAGTACGCTGCTTCTCCAGCCGCGCAGAAGGTAAGAGTGCGAGCGAAAGTGCCAGAGTGTGACAGTGGCGTGCGAGAAAGTCGTTTTTAGAGTTGATCGAATGTAAAAAATAATTTCAATATTTAAAAATAATGGACGAAATTTAGCTAACAGTGCTCCTAAACTTAACTCCTAAAACTAAAGCTAAAAGATAAATAAATAAAACATTTAGTATTTAGATATATATTTTTAAAAACGTTTTCAAGGTACTTAAATAAAACAGTAGAAAAAAGTGGAAATGGAAATTAAAAAACCAATAACAATATAATTCAAAATTATATTTTTTTACCATTTTTTTTAAGATGACGTCAGAAGTTAAGCCTGTCTTCAATAAAATTGTAATGTTTAACTGCATTATACGTAAAATCCCTGCAAAATGGGTAAAGCTGAGGCATATTAAGTCTCATTTCATTCTTGTCCAGTTTTCATCCATCAAAACCGCAATGTTAACAGTAAAGCAATGTTATACATATATTACACTAGCTCAGTGGCGGCTCGTCGTATAAAGCAATCCGGGCCTCACTGTAAAATTGGCTCTCACACAGTATATTTTAATATCTACTGTTCTACTATTGATCTAAATAAACAGTTAGGTAAACTAATTTCCAATTACCTATGACATTTATCTAAAATCAAAATAACAGTATATCGTCACTATATATATAATTCATTTAATAAAATTTGTTGTGATCATTTTAGATTCCTCCATTCTGGAAATTATAAACACCGTTTCTCATCGAATTTAATGCTCCTTAAATAAGAATAATTGAGATTTACATTTGATTATTACAATTTCATACAAAGGGTTATTATCACAAGTCGACTGTAATGATTCAAAGTATATTCATTGACTGTGCTAGCGACGGCAATCGAGCTAAAAATCGATGTTCCCGTTCAGGCCGGACATAGGCAGCAAACTTAATAAGAAGTTCGTTTTTAACCTGTCAGAGCGCTTTCCCTTTCACAACGATTTTTTGGACTGGATGATTTCTTGTAAGGAAAGGGGCCGAAGGCAATCTCCTCTCTAGGAAGTCGACGGGTTCAGAATGAAGCTTCGAGCTGAATGCTGACGATAATAGTCATTCATAATAGTCTTCATTTACCTAGAAATTGTGCCGAACTTCGGGATATTTTCCTGTTATTTTAATCCACACAGCATTTTAATCTTTCCGAATTTTAAATTTTTTATTAAACCGCATCGAGCTACCAGCAGTGAGATATAACGACACTATAGAATTTGTTAAAAGATTGAATCTCCCAAATTAGTCAGTCAAAATATAAACAAATTTCTATTGTAAATATCTAGAAAACCAATATATGCATTTAATATTTCCAAAAATAGAGATTATATTTCTAATTATATAGTAATTACATTTTAGCTATAATTTACTTTAATTCGTCTAGAATTAATTAATTTATCTTGTCAGATGCACCGCTGCTGTAATATCAACTCCTAATTCTAAGGATTTGATGTAAATTGCCCAGGACATGTGTCATATTCACACAAAACAAGAAAAGCGGTCTGTTCGTTTGATCAGACATTTTTATTGCCATATTTTCGGACCCACTGAACATGAATCTGAAGTTAATTAGGTGACAGCACCCATTATTTTCGAGAAAATGCCCCATAATTCTCAACAATCGGATTATTTGCGAATACATATGTTTAGGGATAGTAACTTCGAGGAAGAAGCTTCACCTTCTTTGCCAAAACCAACAAAGATTATTTTCATTGGTCCTAGTTAGGTATCTTTGGAGTTGAGGAAGCAGAACCTTGGATGGATCTAGCAAAGTAGCTTGAGTAACGTTAAAAAATCCTGGATTTATATTTCAGTTAGGCCAAGTTTTTTGCTCATAGTGACTCTTCCTATTTCTACTGCCCCAGACACACTGAAAACAGGGATACCTACTTAGTAAATCCAGATTGCTGTCCCAAGATAATAGTAATTATTTTGATACCTCCACAACTTCGCCACTGTTTCAGCTACCGTAACTTTCTTTCAGTTTCCTTTCCAGATTCGCGTTCGAAAATAAGGATGTTCTTCCACGTTACAAAGTATATTTGCAAAAAACCCATTTTCTCGAAAGTTATGGGTGCTATGTTAGTTATATTCTTATTCAACTAATAAGAAACCATAACAACAGGGTCTGAACATAAGAACAGGCCACTTTTTCGTTGTGGGCCTGTGTTACCTTCTGTTATTGTTAATTGATATACAAAAAGCAAGTATTAGAGCAAATTATTAAAATATATATTTAATTCTATGCAAACATTATCACATATAAGTTTTGGTGTATATTTTTTTGAATTATAACAATGACTAACAACCAAATAGAAAATACACCGTCTGGGAAAAATTGTTTTTTGGGAAAACCAGTCTAATAACAGTCATATTTATGTTGCACAAGCAGAAAGAAACAGATATGTTGTTATTATAAAAATGAAAAGATAAATTTACGAATATCTCCCTGAAGATCATGATACGGAAATAATTGGTCGATATCGAATATTGTTGCCTCACAATTTTGGAGAAAGTAACAAATGTCTCTTATTTATTACGTGCATCTGTGGACTTTTATTTTTTACAAACAAAATTTCTCACCTCACCTGACTCACCCGAATAATAATAAAATGAACTAGAGCATGCATTGGCGCAATGTGAGTTAATTAGTAGTCAACGTGAGCGTGAGGATAATTAAGGCCACGAAGTAATAAATTTCAAATTTCATATTTTCTAAAAATAAGCAGGTTGAATAATGCAGTTTTTGCTATCGTATTTTATTATTTTACTTAAAGTAAATGTTGATATTATACTAGTAATTCTCTTTCTTTTTAAAAATACACTTAATTGAAATGGAAAAGAGAAAGTATTTTTCATACAGCTGTTGCTCATTAATTTAATATGACAAATTACCTCAATAATACAGTTAGGTACTTATTTTTGACAATGTGTTTACTTTAATTCATCAACTTTTACAAATTAATGACTTACCATTGTTTTCTTTTATTCGTAAATTGCAAATAACAACTGATACTTTATCCGATGTTGATGATTACTTACTAGTCCAGGTATGTTCAATATAAATCCCTGAAAACATAGTCGCACAATTTTTTCCTTTGAATAATTAAGCATTTCACAAAAAATACGCTTTTACCTAATGGACTGTTCTATTGAAACGACAAACTTCCCAAGAAAAATATTGTTGCTTTTATTTCGGCAAGCGTGGGATGTTGCAGATCTAGTAAGTTATGAAAGATATTCAAATCCGAAGTTTCGAAGTTCCGGATCCATCCAAAGGGCCCTTCGTTCATCCTTTCGCCTGGGTTATAAAGCCTTACTTCTGATAGTAGCAACAAACGGTTAGATTTCAGCTTCTTTGATGTAACTTACTAAAACTAATTAGTAATTAGTTTGATTAAAAGAGACCTTATTATCAAGCAACGGCGTGAAGTGGCGCGAAAATATATGCATGTTGATGAATTCAATATATTACCCAGGCGTTCTAAAAACATTCAGCAATATGCCTTGAAGGTGCTTTTAATCTTACAATGCTGAATACCTAATACATGTGATTCCTTTGTATGATTTCCTTTCGATTTATTTTCTCTTGAGATCCTGTTATGGTATTATAAGATTTCTTTTAAGGAATCTGTATGTTACAGAAGATAACATAAACACAAAGGTGGAACAACTGTTATAGACTGCTTTCTATTAAGGGGAAAGTAATTCGATAGTCCTGAAACTTTGAAAAATACATGAGCCAAAAACATTTAAAATATAATAGACAAGTTATATCGCTGCTTTGAATAAAATGTGATTTTATGTATGGGCATTTTTTGCCTTTGTTATCTCTTTGGTTGTTCTTAAAAACAGACTTAACAGTTTTTCACATAGTACACTTGAATAAAATCGAAAACATGTTATTTCAAAGTTTTATATCAGAAAACTGTCTACGATTGGCTCTGAAGGTGCATTCATTCTAAATTTCAGGAAAAGTATATGGAAAGAGTAATGTCACTAAAATAATGGTTTTAAAGTCATTAGATACTCCACGGAAAGGATTGAGATAAATAAAATTTATTAGATACAATTAAATAATTTACTTGTATTTGCAAGTTAAATTGAATTAAAATGCTCAATAATTAGTTTTAAAAAATAATTTAAAAAGCTAAAATTAATTAAAATATTTGTTGTACAGAATTAAATATTAATTTCTTTTGAAAAACATTTTTTTAATATACTGACGTTTGTTTGGAAATGTTACTTTAATTATTACTATCATATATTTTTTTAGATTTATTTCTAAATTATTTACTTACTAACAAAGAATACAGATATTTTATACAATACAGGGTGATTCAAAACTTATCCAAAAAAACATTCTGGATGTACAGGGAACCCTTACAAATACAATTTTGTAAAGAAAAAATCAAAAAGGTCAGTTCGAAATTGATTTAAAAATACACTTCTGTACGGCACTGGAAACTGGTCCACTGTAAAACCTGACCTCGCACAATGCGACCGGTATGGCGGCGTGATAAAAACGGACAAAATCTTTCGCAATGAAAGAAATATCTAAATAGAATTTTATCGCACCTATTTTATATCGGCAAATTCAAATGCTTTTTTAATTATTAATAAAATTAATTTGTGTTTTTAAATAATAAAATCATTTGACATACCCGATGCTGCAACAGCAATTGTTCAAAATTTTATCCGCTCATGTGTAAACACATTTGGGTCCGTCTTACTCATTTTCTACGAACTAACACAAATGATGTCTTGCTTCACCATAAATTAAAACGATATCCATCAATTCTGAGTTGCTATACACGCAAGCCATTTTTGACACTAACTACTAAATAAATACGACAGATAACGGGTAAAAACTACCGCAACGACGGATTTCAGTATTAGGAGTCACATGGCTCTCCACGCGTATTGCGAATGACGCTAGAGACTACAGTTGTCCAGCTATGTAGTGGTTCA